AAAGTCGGAGGGAAAATCATTTCTTGGATCTGCCAGGGAAGAGAGCTGGGGAACTTAAATACAAAAATCCTAAACCCATTTGTTTAAGTTGTTCCCATTTCCTGTCCTAAAATTTGTTGTTTCCTATCCAAGAAGGGACACGACTAAGCTGACTTCTCTAGGGGTCTATTCATCTCTGGCACATTAAAAAAACACACCCCATAAACAGAGGGAAAATCATTTCTTGGATCTGCCAGGGAAGAGAGCTGGGGAACTTAAATACAAAAATCCTAAACCCATTTGTTTAAGTTGTTCCCATTTCCTGTCCTAAAATTTGTTGTTTCCTATCCAAGAAGGGACACGACTAAGCTGACTTCTCTAGGGGTCTATTCATCTCTGGCACATTAAAAAAACACACCCCATAAACACAGAAAAAAAATGTTTAGCCATTACATCAGCTGTATAGTAAATAAATGGATGCAGGCCCTAGACGGCCGGTCCCTGAGATAGTCGGTGGTGTATATACACACACACGGAGACAGGGAGGAAAAGCTGGAGTCCAGACCAGCCTGCTAAGCCTTCTTGTGGGTGGCCTGTTCGTGCTGATACCATCAGGGGATGGAGCTGATAAACACACAGCTGAAAACTCCCAAGCTAGGAGCCACAATATCCCTCTGCTTGATTTCTCTGTGTATTTTTCTCCTTCCAAGAGAATAAAGAGAGTGAGAAATTCAGGCTTTCTTCTGCTGGGGGAAGGGAGATTTGGGGCAGCATGGTGGGGACATCAGCTAGCTCCCACGGATGCCGGAGCCCCCCCCATGCCTTTTCTTGGGGGGTATAACCCCAAAGGGAGTCGTAGCCAGCCAGCCAGGAGAGGGACCTCTGCCCAGAGCTGCCGGGTCCCGTCCTCCAGCGGGAAGCCCAGGTTAGAGAGGGGAATCCAGACCAGCAGATCCTTTGAGGACCTCAAGGCTTTTCTGTGGCTACCTCGGCTGCCCCGAGGCTGGTGCCCCTTCCTTACAGAGCCCAGCACACCGCTGGCCTTGGCGCACCTGAGACAGAGAGAAATGAGTTTTGCTCTCCAAGGAGAGACATGAAACCCCTGTCCTCAAGACCTCAGCAGCCCACGTCGAGCTCTGGCACTGGTTATGCAGGAGGAGATGGCTAGAAACACGGCGATTGTGCCTTTCTCAGCCTTTTAACACCCCTCACGAGACGACAATCTCTAGAAAGAGCAGTTCTAGCCCAAAGTGCTTGGCTGGTGCACCAAGCTCAAAGCCAGCTGGAGGTGGCTCTGCACCCTTTCTGTTTACTCCCAAGTCCCCTGTTTTTCTCTTGTTAAAAGCAGGGGCATCGCGCCTCTCTGCTTAGGTAGTGGATGTCATCTGGCCTCAGCGACTTTTTTTGTCACATCGGCTGGATTTTGAATTGACTCAGGCAAGAAAATGTGTGAGATAAGTATGATAAACATGCTTGTTGGTTTTAGATATGCATATGTATATAGACACACACATTCATATGACTGTATAGTTGCTATGCATGCATAGGGATGTGTGTTTTATATATATTTATTATGATGAGGCATTTTTAACTTCTCAGGGCTGGTGTTCCAGGCCCTGCAGCGTTTCCCCAGGAAAAAATACTTGAGCTAATTCCTTCCAGCTAACTAGCGGCAAGGGCATGCTCTGGAGAAGCAGATAGGGAGGGGATTTGATCTGAACCCTCTTTCTCATCCCAGGTGAGTCCTTCAGCCATCGGCCGCTGGAAGGAGAAGGGGAGGGGAGGTTCCTCCCTCCCCTCCAAGCCATTTTGTGGGCGATCGGCAGCGCCTGCCTTCCCACGCAGGCTCCACGAAGGAGAAAGGTGGGGGAGCACCTGGTTTGTGAACGTGGCTGCGGCTTTGGTGCGAGATAAGAGAGGAGCAGCTCAAAGCTGTCACGAACCGCACCGCTCTGCACACACCCGGGGCTGGATGCAGCCGAGCCGAGCATGGAAGCGGCTGCCTGGCCGCAGGGCCGTCCCGCTTGCATGCTATGTGGAGGGGTAGCGTGCTTGGGCTGGCTAGAAAAGCACAACGCTGCAAAAAATGCTCACAACTGACCAAACCAACCTGATTTCACATCTCAGCCTGCCAGCAGGACGCTCTGCCCCATCCCAAAGCCATGCTACTGCAAAAGCAGCACCAAAACTGCTGTCAGGCACTGTGAGCTGAGGTCTGGAGACCAGCTCTGCAAGAAGCAGCTTGACCAGAGCCCGTAGCTTTAGCAATCCAGCAGCATCACGGGACAAAAATCCTGGCTGAACTGGGACTGGAGAGAAAAATTACTATTTTCTGAATACCTGCTCCTTACACGCACGCAGCCATGCCACTGTGGTCCAAGTAGCTGGACTCTTTTGCCATTACACTGAGAGAAAGCACTCTCGAAATCCACCCCAACCCAGACTGCTGCTTGCTACCTTCCTGAGAGCAGATGACAATCTCCAGAGATCAGACCGCGCTCCTTCGTCACTCCTTTCACATGCCCATAAATAATATTCCATAAAATGCAAATCGAAATAAAACCTAAGTGCTCAGGGCACATTTCCCTTTTCCTCTATAACACACTCAAAGGGGTTTTTTTTTTTTAAAGGCTACGTTTTATTGGCCTGAACTTGCAACGTTTGGCAATGGGTTCTTGCTACTAATTTAGACGCAAGCGTGTCAGAGTGTTAATTACAGACTGTGTGTGTGACGAGCAAAGCACAGTGATACCGTCGGGTCTCGAGACACTCCGGCTATTGCCTGCAAAACACCGGCAGGCAGCAGGCGAGCTCTCCAGGTGCCGGGCTTTGAACCCCCCAGTCTCTGACAGACAGCACTCTGCAGGGCTGGGCCTCTGTAGGCTGAGCGCGTGTGGGTGTGAATCCCTTGGAAAGCAAATCCCTCGGCTGCGCCTGCCCCGGCCAGTGAAATCCACGGCCCTGCGGAGCGAGTGGGGCATCCAAACGACCGTGACCAACTCGCTTTCATCTTCGCTGGGCCTTGGGCTTAAAGTCTGGCCCAGAATAAAGCTCCAGCTTTCCCTGACCAGTCTGAGGCTAAAAAAAAAAAAACCAACCCCAACACAACCCCAAAAAACAAAAACCACTTGTGTATTTTGTCTCAGCGTTACCT